CCCAGGGTGCACTACGTGGAGGTAAGTCTATCGCACACCCACTTTTTAACAGTCTCAGTCTCGGTAAATGAAAATGGGGGTGGTGGGATGACTCATTCTCGTTTGACTGTCGTCAATCTTGTCTTCCTATTAAGAAATTTGATATAGCAGTTCATTAGCCGTCTTCTTGCTTCCCAGTATCTTTGGCTTTCCGTCCTTGTCTTTAATGCTGGACATCGAATCAGGTGGGTCTTCTCCATTTCCTCCTGTAGGTTACATAGAGGGCATGTGGGTTGAGTGTATACTCCCAATCTGTGAAGATGTTTTGCCAAGCAGTCGTGTCCGGCAAGTAGTTTAAACTCAGCAACGGCTTCGATTCTTGGCCAGTCGGCTGTATCAGAGAGTGCCACTGTCCACTGTTTCCCCTTTGTTCGTGCTTTAAGTTCGTTGCACCTTGAGGTCTGGAATTCTCTACTGATTAAGGTCTTCATTGCGTGGAAAGACATTGGCCGGTACATGCATTGAAAAATCGTTGTCCCCTTCTTAGCAAGTGCGTCAGCAAGTTCATTGCCTTTAATGCCACAGTGACCAGGAATCCATTGTAGGACCACTACTTTGTTTTTTCTCTCTCAGAAGCTCATAGAGTTTTCTACATTCCTTTATCTCAGCTGTTTTGGGTGGCTCTCTGTTTCCAATTGAGTTTATTGCTGACGGTGAGTCCGAAAGTATCACCGCTTTGGTGAATTTCGTATCCAGGCAACATAATTGGCATAGTGCTATCCTTATGGCCTCTATTTCTCCTTCAAAAGCGGAGCTAGTGAGTCCTGATGCTGCGTAGAAAGAGAAGAGTTCTGAAAAGACACCTGCATCAATGTTTGTTTGGCTTTCTATGAATGACCCATCAGTGAAGACTTGGAGCCATTGATCTGCAGGATAGTTGACATTGATTGTCTCAAGGGCCTGTGAGCGCATTTGCTCTGGAGGAGTGTTTGATTTCCTGAAGAAGTGAAGCAGTTGGGTGCAAAACACAACATCAGTGTCTGCCAATGGGTTCATGGGGAGAGAGAGAGGCTTTTTGGTTTGTCATCGATTTGTAATTCTTTCTCCAGTTCTCTGGCGTTTTGTATTAGACCAGATTGCGTTTTCAGATGCCTTGGTCTATCCTCATAGGTGCTGAAGAACTTGTCCACGGGAATGCGCCGTAGCTTCTCATACAGGATCAAGGCCTTTTCTTTGATAAGGGAACATATTGTGGTGTTTCCTGCAACTTGGAGCATTGCATCAATGGGTGTTGATTTTATCCCTCCAGTAATTAGTCGTAATGCTTGATTGTGTGCCTTCTCGAGTGGTTTGAGAGTCACCTCTGTGGCTGTAATGAGTGGCTCACAGCAATACAACATTATTGGCTGAATAAACATCTTGTAAGTGGTGCTGAGAGTTGAGCGTGCACAGCCTCATACGCTACCAGCAAAGCACTTCAGTACATTCAGTCTATTGGAGTCTCGTTCTGCTATTTTAGCAATGTGACTTTTCCACGTTAGCTTTGTGTCAAACGTCATTCCGAGATATGTGAACTCATTGGTTTTTTCTATGGTAGTATCCTTGTACCTTAGAAGCGGGTTTATGCTGTGACGGGCCAAAGAAAAAGTTTGGAATGCAGATTTCGCGGTGTTGATTACCACTCCATCGTTGTCTCACCAGTTTTCTAGCAGTTTAAGTGCACAATTTAGGGCATTTTCTGTCCTCTCCTTAGCGTTTTTCTTAGGGGCGGAATACCATAGAANATTTCACCCAACTGTCTTACCTGTATCTTTAAATCTCTTAGAGATTTTTTGACAAAAAGGGTTTTTCTTTTGCTTGTGGGAATAGAACCTCGCAAAACAGTTAGCTATTTCGGAGTCGGTGGTAAACAGTTTGTTTTTAAAACGCATTGGTTCTTTCTTGGGTCTTTCTCTGTTGTTTTGCAGGTTACCCAGGAATTTGAAAGTGCGTTGGCCATCACTTTGATTGTTGATATTCTAGATGAACTTGTTGAAGGAAGTCTGTTTAGCTTGTAAGATGGCTTGCCTTAGGACAGCTGACTACCGTCTCCAGGCTTGTACGTCTTCCGTTCTTCCAGTCTGATCAGCAGTGTTGCGAAGGGCGTCCCTCTTTCTTTTCAGTTCCTCAAGGTGTCTAGACCAAAACACTCGATAGTGTTTAGTCTTGCCTCGGGGAATAGTTTTCTTTGCACATCTGATCATAATATTCGTGGTATCAGTGCAAAGTTTGTCAGGATGTTGGTTGAAGTTGAGGGGACTTGTTTGAAGTTAATTGTCTAAAAGGTTTGTGAATCTAGGCCAGTCAGCCTTCTTGAAGTTTCATGATAGCTTGTCGGCACTTTCCTTGTCATGCTTTTGCTGCCGATGGTAATACTAGCAATGACTGGTTTGTGGTCAGAACCAGGATCGTCAATTTTGTTGCGGCGTGTGTGCTCGCTGATGTCGCTTGAAGCCAGGAGCAAGTGAGGAGTTGTTCTGGTTCCATTGTAGTGCAAATATGTAGCCGGATCCTCACTGCTGTAAATAAGTTCCAGAGGGTTGCTGTTTAGCATGTCTTCAATTTCCTTTCCAGATATGTCTGTATCCTTGTAGCCCCATCTGGTGGAATGGACGTTGAAGTCTCCTAATACTACAGTTTTGTGTGAGATGTTCAGAAAGTCAAAGTTAAGACAATTCTGGGGTGGATTATAGACTGGATATACCTTGAAGTGGTTTTGACATTTTCAAACATTTAATTTGATTATTTCACATATGTCTTGTGTCTAGCCCATACTCTTGATTAGATCGTAGTGTGAGGTGAGGCCTTCTTTTACTCCAGTTAGAATTCCACTTGCAACTTGCCGGTATTTAAGTAGAAGGTACAGGGTGAAACCTGGGAATTGGTAGCACTTCAGTTTGTCATCCGAAATGTTTGCTTCCATAATTGTGAAAGTGTCTACATCATAGGTTTGTAGGATTTTCTGAACTTGAATCTTTTTGTCCTGTGACATCCCTCCAGCATTCCACTGAAGGATCTGAAGACGTGATTCGCCCTGACGAAGGCGATTTCTCTTATAGCCTTGTTTCAAGCTAATCATAGTAAATCGAAGTCAATTCAAATCAAATTGAATGCCGAGTGATAGACTTTTTTTGCCGTACTTAGATACGTTGTCCAGGGTGCACCACGTGGAGGTAATTCTATCGCGCACCCCCACGTAGAGACGATGACTAGTTCATTCAAATATAAACAATTAAATTTTATCCATTATGAAAAAATATGAGATTCCACTGCCTCTCAACCTAAAAAGTATAACTTTTGTCATTTTGACTTCCATATGCTCCTACATAATGAACGAGGACATGGAAAGTATCGATATTCGTATTAACAATAGAAAGAATTGCCTAAACCCATCCTGGGAATATGGGGCTACTATCCTTCAGAGAGTAATGTTTTTCAATCACCTCACAATACATCTTCTAAAACCATAAGTACATACATCTGCAATTAATTGGAATAACGACTCCTTGTTTCCACTATTTAGGTATGCAAACATTCACTTCCTGTTGATATACGGCCCAGTCGATAAAGCATTTGGATTATTTCTAGATCAAAACACATTGAATACATTATACTTGTGCAACCTAAGTTTCAGAAACTTTGTTCTCTATAAAAATGCCTTAACTTTACAGCATGATAAAGAGCGTTTAGTGAGATAGATTTCATTAACTGGAGAAGTGGTTAAGAAATACGAATTGGTGGGGTCCTATTCCTAACCCACTCTACAACTTCTATTCGATTCTTACAGGCTTACTAATTGAAACATAAGTAAATCAGTAATTAGCCCTATCCTTATGGCATTATTAACCTTTCCCTGTTTATCCTTTCACGAATGGCTTTGCTTCTGTCTTGGTCCTGCAGTTGGAGAAATCTATTTCTTTCCATATAGTCATCTTTCTCCAAACATCACTATTTCTTGTTGATACTAATGTTTCGGAGAGCCCGAAGGTATCTTACTACGTACTGATAGACCCCATCAGATCCCGTGCAATTGACCACTGCTTCACATTGTGATTGACTGTTGGGGAGTGCGCTTGAATGGTTTAACAATCGTTTGCACCTTGTGTTGACGACTGCTGGCCATATGTTTATATTTGGTTGCAATAATTTGTTAATGTATCAATTCAAATGTACTTGTAGTACGCTAACTAAAACGCATATCTACCCAGTTCAAATTGTCCAGCGATGTCTATCTAATTAAATGCAAGCCACCAAGCACGTTTCCACTGACGACTGGAAGCATGTAACATGGACACCACGCGTTGGCCAATGGGGAAGCAAGCATGAAGAGCTATGGCCATCAACACACCCCATGGTGGGAGAGGAGATGGTAGGTATTTAAGGAAAATGGTTGCCTACTCTCATCCTCTGCACTCTTCGTGGATATTTCAAACTTGCATGCATCTTGTAGGCCAATATGGCCTTTAATATTAACAGGCATTGAATATAAAGTTCCAGTTGAAAAGTATCTAATTAGATCACGTTTCCAACAGATCACTCATCGAACGAGCAAAGGCTGCGAAGTGATCAGCTCCAATCAGGTTGCACAGTTTATCATAAGCCCAGTTCTAGTCTCACCGTGCTGTTCGCTATCCTCTATGCTTCCAAAGTCGCATCCCTACCTTTTACTCATTTCGATCACGGAAAATGAGTATTCGTGCTTAACATTCAGTCTTTAGTCTTTCGATTTGCCATGAGATGCATTATTTTGTATGCATGTCATTCGTTTTATGAGAAGACATAGGTAAGTGTAATCAGGCCAGGCTTCTAAACCAGCTTTACTTGCGGAATGCAGTCAATATAAATCAGGAGACTTAGTCAGTTAAGCGAAGAAACCTAATTTGAAACCTATACTATTAAGTAACGAGAGTTAAAGTAGCTGTCTTTTCTCCATTTTAAAATCCGTTGCCTTGAGGTATAGCCAAGGGCACTATGGTGCATAGGTCATTACATGATTATATTGAAAGAGATCAAGACCCAGTGCCCCATTCAATTAAACAATGCAAGACACTGATGGGTAAGAATACGAGGATATTGCAGGAGCAAAAAATAATATTAACATTATTAAGTGCGACACGATATAAAAACAGTTAACCCTGTGTTTAATTCATGTGATCATTGATAAATTTCTCGAGAACTGCGCTTTCTTTTAGGCCTGTGAATCGGCCAACTTCTTTACCATTCTTTATGGCAATCACAGTAGGAGTGGCTTGTATCTACAATTTTTAAAAAGGAATTACTACTTAAAAATATTTCAGCATATATTTTTAACTAAATATCGCGATTACATCGTATTCTGGGAGGACTTCTTCAACCTTGTCGACATCAACTTTAGCAAGGCACACTTTATCTTCGTACTTCTCCATTACTAAGTCAAATCTTCGACCTAATTCTTTACAAGGTTTACACCTTTGCAGATGGAAAGGAAAAACTCTAACTTTAAAAACGGGCAAAACAATCAAAGGAAATAAGTAAATCACACTTACCAAGTGGCAAAGAAATCAGCAATAACAGTAGCTTCATTATCAGTACATATCTTCTTAAATTCGTCGTAATTTTGAACATAGGTAATTCCAGTACGTTTAGCGAAATTAGCGGCAGAGCATGAAATAACCCTTTGTGAAACTGATGCAGGAAAGCGAGATGCGATACATAAAAATTTTTGAGTGAACATAGCCGACAACCTGAAAGAATAAAAGATGAAAAGTCACGTTTATTACGCTAGAACCAGCCACCTTAATGAGCGCATTTCATGATCGTTAAGGAAGTATACGCTATTTGAAGTAAGCTCACTTCGAGAAATGACGAAGTTAAGTAAACAAATTAATACATCCCAAGGAATTTTAAAACTGTGAGCATTTACCTTATAAAGAACACAACGATGTGAGGGACCGGTGCAAGACTTATAGAAATACCACATTGAAAAGGAATATCTTCACGCCGAGAAGAAGATCGAAAGTATGAAAGGTTAGTGACCTCCAAAGCCAAAAAATTCCCTCAAACCGAAGTATACAATCACCAGCCAAAAAATGGCAGATGGTACAATATCTACAAATCACATCTAATGAGGCATATATGGTACCAGTTTCATACCCCACCCAGTGTATCGCGTGTAACGAAGTCTATAACAATAGAATATATTTATTGACTTTTCCCTTATTCCCGATCTTTCACAGCGCTCAATAGAGTACTTGTGCCTGCAATTGATTCAACCTGTAGCTTATTTATAATGAACACCTCAATCAACTATCCCCAAGTAATATAAAACATACCAACACCCTTGAAATACGCGGGTTGCCATTAACTACATAAAAGAAACGTAATAAATATGAAAGAAGGTTAGTTTGATGATACTAGTTGGTTTCGTCTTTAAATATTGAAAGAATATTTTAAGAGATTGTTAGTTAAAGCTAGGAGCATGCAGGCGTGACGCTTTTGCTAATAGACTTCGCAAAATGTTTGAAGGTACTAAGTATTATCATAAATAGTCTTAAAATTGAACTTATTAGATCACAACAGAGCATCTCACGAGTAAATTTAATATCATCTTATTATATGTTTTAAACTTAAATGTTAAATTCTCCATTGCATTACGTTTACTTAATAAAGCTAAGGATGAGGTAATACTATTAGGTAGGCAACTAAGACATTGCCGATTTCAAATAAGAAGGCAAATTCGGAGTTTTTGTTTAAAAATATAACTTTATTCAATTAGATATTGGCCGTTCTTGCCGATGACCTTTTTCCATCGTTCTGGCAGAGTAAAAATTCCCCGTTCGTAAAATGTCTGGTCTTTGCTATTAAAAAACTGAATTAGGTGTGATCCGATATCATCCGCGTTGTTACAAATTTTACCATTTAAAGAGTTTTGCATGGAACGTAACAAATGGTAATCCGAAGGCGCAAGGTCAGGGCTATATGGTGGGTGTGACAAAACATTCCAATCCAGTTCCAATAATGTTTGCCGAGTAACCAAAGATGTGTGGGGCCTTGCGTTATCAT